GAGGGAGGCCAGGTGGAGAGGCAGGGGGCTGACGTGCATCAGGTGGTGCCAGGCAGCCTCCAGCCATTGCTGGCAGGCTTGCAGCAGCAAGTCCAAGAACTGCATCAGAATGGCCAGAGCACCACCGACACAGGCAGGTGCAGAGGAAAATGCTTTGCTGTCCCTCTGCGAGGTAGGCAAGTAAGCGGAAAAGCTGAGAACTGGCTGTCCAGGGTGGTCCCTTTAAGTACAAGCCTCAGACAGCAGCCACACAAAGTAACTACTGACCTGATGCCCTGCTGGAACTGGTTTCAGCTGCCCTTAAATGCGACCCAGAGTCCAATCAGTGTAGACATGCTAGTTCGAATTAGCAAAACGCTAATTCGAACTGGTTTTAAAGTCTAGATGCGCTAATTCGAATTAGCTTAGTTCGAATTAACTAATTCGGAACTAAATTAGTTCAAATTAGTGCTGTAGTGTAGCCATACCCTTAGTTATGCTTGATTATGCCACACAATTCTCCTTTAAAGAATGCCTCTGGTAGCTACGGTGGTAGCCAAATTTGTAAAAATATTCACCCAAGTTTGCTTCCCCATAGTGTTTCTCTCAGATCAGGGGACAAATTTCACTGCCCAATTCTTCAAGGAAGTCTGTGCTCCGCTAGGAATTTGAAAGCTCCAGACCTCCACCTACCCCACAGACAGATGGATCAGTGGCACAGTTTAACTGGACCATGTTTTGGAAGTTCCCCCCTGAGAAACTCTGCCACTGGTATCAGCTTGTACACCCCCTGCTGCTCACCATCTATGAGGTGCTATAGATCTCCACAGGATTCTCCCTGTTCAGACTCTTACATGTCTGGCTGCCTCATAACAAGATGGATCTCATGCAGGAAACCTGGGAACATACCCAGTTACACACTGAAGGGTTGCACCAGTCTGTGTTCAAACTTCAGGAACAGTTCAACTAAACAGGGGCCCTTGTCCAGGACAGCCATTAAGTTGCACGACGCTATAGTTGGGACACAAAAGTGCAAGTCTTTGAACCGGGGAACTGAATCCTGGCTCTACTTTCCTCTGAAGAATCAAAGCTACTGGCCTGTTGGCAAGGGCCCTATGTGGTCACCTGTCGGTAGGTCCTGTTAATAACGAAATCCATCAGCCAGACCAGAAAAGGAAACATGAGATTTATCAACTGAATCTATTAAAAACCTGGCAGTAGTGAGATGAAATGCTGGTTGCACCTTACCCCCACCCCCTCCCACCCCCCGCCCTGTGAACCAGAACTGGGGCCACAAGCATCTAACAAAGTTGAACCCAAGACCCTTCTGTTGGGAGAGACCCTCTTCCTGAACAGCGAAGATATTTACTTGAGGATTTCCCACAAACATTCACCAACATCCCCAGGCAGATCACCCAAGTCTATCGTGCCATCACCATCCATCCAGGAGAAGTAATGCGAGAAGTCACTTGACATTTCCCCACCATATGTGGAAAGACGTGGAACAAAAGATACAGGACATGCTAGAGCTTGGGGTAATTGAAAGATCTGTGAGTGAGTGTCGAAGCCCAATTATCTTTGTTCACAAGCCAGATTGGACTTGGCATGTCTGCATTAATTTCAGTAAGGTCAATGCAATTTCTCATTTTGATGTATACCCAATATCACAAGTGGATAAACTACTTGACCAACGGGGAGAGGCACAATGTATTGCCTCCCTGGATTTAACCAAGGATTATTGGTAAATCCCCCTGACACCGGAGGCCAAAGAGAAGACAACCTTCACTCCTCCCGGGGTTCTGTTCACCAGGATGCCCTTTGTCCTTCATGGAACCCCTGTGACATTCCAGAGGTTGATGGTCCAGCTCCTCTGGCCACACCTTGAATATGCTGCTGCTTACCTGAATGATGATGTAATTTACAGCCATCAATGGGACAATCACCACAACAAAATGGTGGCTGTTCTGAGAACCCTTCAGGACATGGGTCTTACTGTGAACCCCCAAAAATGTCGACTGTGCTGGCATGAGACAACTTATCCTAGGGTTACAGCCTGGGATGAGGACAACTACACTACCTTGTGGGGAAAGTCCAGGTGATCCATGACTATGCAGCCCCCACTACAAAGAAACAGGTTCAGCAATTTCTGGCTTGTGGGCTACTACAGACTCTTCATCCCTGACTTTCTGACAATCTCTGCTCCACTGACTGGGCTGCTCAGGAAAGATCAACCCACACAGGTGCAGTGAACCCTAGACGGTAATCTGGCCTTCCAGGAATTGAAGTGCCACTTGTGTCAAGACCCCATACAGTATAACTGACTCACCTGCAGTAGGACATGGAACTGTCGTCTCCCAGACTATCGAAGGTGAGGAGCACTCTGTATTATACCTCAGCCAAAAATTGTTCGCGTGCAAGTATTGCACGGTGGAGGGTAAGGAAGCTCTATCCATTAAGTAGGTGGTGGAAGCTCTATGATATGTTACCTCCTTGGATGCCCCTATGTCATGGTGACCAACCACATCCTCCTGAAATGTTTGCATCAGATGAAAGATGACAATGCCTGGCTCATGTGCTGGTACTAAGCTCTGCAGTTCTTCGCCTTCACCATTCTGCTCCTCCATGCTGGTAGGGACAACAGCAAAGTGGAAGCCTTGTCATGGAAGGGGAGAGAGGACAGAGCCAGCCCTAGGGATTGAGAGCTGTACTAAAGTGCATATGTGTGTGTATCGAGGAGGCATAGCCCTCCTCAGCCTCAGATGCCAGGGATACACCCCAAACTGCAAGATAGGTGGAGCCAGAAGGCCCCCGTCCCAACCACCAGAAGCAGAGGAATGGAACAGGAAGAGGAAGCATAAACAGCTGGCCTTGAGGTGGAGCAGCTGGAGGCAATAGACACGTCTGTGCCAAGACTTCAGGCAAGCACCAGAGAACTACTGGGATCAACATGACCTTGCAGAGAGCATTAATGCTAGGGAGTTGTCGCTGATGCCCTTGGTGGTGCATCCAGAGGAAGACTACACAAAAGGGGGAGTAGTGGAAGCAACCCAAGGGAGTCAGGTGGTAGACTGCTAGCTAGTGCACCTGAATTCGGGTCAGCATGTTGTGGGTGAATCTCAATACACACTTACCCAGTGGCAGAGTATCCCATCAGTGATATGGCCCTGGCTTGGGATGTGGTGGAGACTTGTGCTACATTACACAGCCCCTTACCTGAGCTGGTAGACAGTGTTCGTATTCATCCCTGTCCTGCTGAGAGGCCTGGAAACCCAGACTGGTATTGAACTGGCTTTGTCTGACAGAGAGCAGAGCCCGGATTGCTAACCACCTCACCCTTCTTGAAGATCAGGGTATCTTGATTATTATTGGAATTGATTCAGTCTGGTGGAAAGACTAGAACCCAGGGTGCAAACCACCCTGTCTTGCAAGGGGCTCGAGAAACTGACTCTTAGTGACCTTTGTCCTGTTTGGCGCTGGGATTAGTATCTGAATTATTGATTGCCAGGTCCTGCCTGGAGACCAAGGAGACTGACTCTTGTGGCTGCTCCTGATGGAAGGGCTGGGCCTTGGGGGACTGATTCCTCCACCCTGCTGGGAAGAGGAGGGGCAAACCCCACCTCCTGTATATATTACTAACTCCCCTTTTGTAGGCCAGATTCAGGAATACTTCAGTGAGGAGATGTGGACTCCTCAGACACAGATGCCAAGAGGTTACACTGAGGAAATAGCTGTTTTTGTATTTCAAAAAGTGTGAATGATCATTTATCATGTATCTGTTCTGGAAAGGAAAGATGTCAGTTTTCCCAGCCTTTCTAATTACTCAGCTTTGACATCCCTAGATGATTCCATCAGCTTCAGGGTTTGTTTATAATGCAGTAGCTGTTATATTAGTTCAGTTCATTTTATTCATTCATTTGAATTTTGTGTTCCAAGGATATTTCACCAAACATTCACTGTAAAGCCTTCAACTATGACCACCCACATCCTGAAATTCTCTCACACATAATCTGAAATCCTTCCTTTTGTTGTGACAGTAAATAAGTAATAAATTCAAAATCGTTTGCAAAACCAGACCACATACATTTTTGCTAGCCAAGTGTATTAAATGTACAGTATGCCTTGTGGTATTCTGAAAGTTTGTGGGGAGAGGTTTGTATATGGACCTTTTGTTGACAACTTTAGTTCAATCCACGTAGAGGAAATCCAGCTGCCACAACTCAGGATGTCCTGTTGCTATGAAGGATGTTGGCCACTGCTTGGCCATTCTCTCATTGAAAATATAGCCATTTATGAGAGACGTTTTTGTCATTTTACCACTACTAAAGAAGAGCAATATCTAAACTTTATTTTTGTGACAGGCATTCATTTAATAATCTAAGAATTATTGAAGGAGACTAGGGGAATACAGGGTTGATGGTCTCAGTAAGAGAGCACCCTGCCCTGATTTTGACATTGTGTAGGGGTAGAACACAGCAAAAACAATTAGCTCTGTAAGTATCAAAGGGATGTCTTCAGGTAATCCCAGAAGCCAGCTGCTGTTCCCAGGGATCTTTGTGGGCTAGGTGCCTTCCAATCAAGATCTTAGCCCAGTCTTCTGAGTTCCTGGTAGAAGAATTCCTGTAGAGTGGATAGGCTGGAGTTCTTCCCTCACCAACCTGGTCAGGCTGACAGAAAGCAGCTGTGCTTCTGACTAAGCTACTCAGTCAGAACAGGTGGACCTCATTACCCTGCTAGCCCATCAGGGAATATAAGCTGCTGGTCTCCTGTCAGAGGGGAGAAACTGAAGGTCCTTTGGGGGAGAGGAGCCTGATGAACAGCTGGCTTGTGAAGGCAGTATGGCCATAGCTTGGAGTCTAAGGTTTGCTTAATACCTGCCTTTTGCTTGTACTAAAAAGCTGGTTGCTACAGAAAGGACGAATACAGTTCAGTAATTAATCTTAACATGATTTATTAAATGACTCAAAACGAAGTCAAATAATACAACCTCTAAGAAGAGAAGATTCTCTTTCATGAGAAAATAGTGTGGGGATGGTCTCTTCAGTGCTGCTGTCCCAGGCCTTTTCTAGATTGTCAATAGTGAGCTGAGTTGATCTGTAGATACAGAGGCAGATCTTTACTAATCTTCCTGCAGGAAGGAGTGATACTGACCAGAGGTGTTTTACTAACAACGTTCTTGAAAATAACAAGCCAGTTAGTCAGCTTTAGCCTTATCTTGCCTGCAGACATCATAGGGTGATGTGACCTGTCACATGTGAACACAGATGTGATGTAGCAGGGCTGCAGATAGCAATACCCTCCCTGGCCATGCCTCCCAAGTTAGTCATGTCTTCAGAACAGAAAGCCTGGGAAATTGTTCATGTGCATCACAGGGGAGAATATTTGGGTTGGGGATAAAGAAGGATGGGAAAGTAGACAGTGTGTCCTCTCCTGCCCTTACCCCACTTTGCAGAGTGAAAAACTAGGATGTGCTATAACAAAATTGTCTATGTCCTTCTATGACCAATTCAATGTTCTCCCCTTGTCCCATCCTCTCCCCTACTATGTCACCCTGCTATCTCTCACCCACAGACCCACCCAGTCCCCCATAGCCTGTATTTCCCATTTATGCTTCCTCCTCTACTGATTGAGACAGATCTGAGGCAGGGCCAGAAGTCTCCTGGTAGCTTGATGTACTGTTGTCTGAAGATCATAAACACCATATGTGCCGCTCTGCCTGCAATACCATACAGAGATACATAGCCCCACACACACACAAAGTGTTCTTATATAAACGATTTCCATCCACACCTCTTTAAAGCAGAATAATCATGGGTGGTGGGTATGCGAGGTGGGGAAAGGCACTGCCTTCCCATACTGCAAGCCTGGGCCTGCCCGTACTCCACCCCCAGAACACCTACTGGGGCCAGGGTGTTGTTGCCCCCAAGCGCCCACCTTCCCCATGCTCTAGAGCTGGGGAGGGTGGGATCGCACACTGCCCCACTTCCCCATGACAGGGGAATGGGGCTTGAGCAGAAGGGGAGGGGCTGGAGGCAGGTTGGGGGCTTGCCTCCCCCAACCCTGCCTTCACCAGCACCCATGAGGATAATCCTAGCCAAAAGTTAAATAACTTAGAGCAAGATTTTCTGGAGTAACAGGAAACATATTAAAGTTACTGTATTTGAAAAAAAATGGTAGAAGTTCTGAATAGAAGATATTTTATTTTGTATGCAAAGTTATAATAGAAATTTCAATTAAAAAAAAGTTTTGACTAGCTTATAGAGCTGGTCAGAAATAGCCAAATTACTCCCAAAAAACTTTCAAAATTTTAATAAGTTTTAATTAAAATAAAGCAACATGTAAAAAAGCGACACACACAGCAGTGTGTGAAGATCCATAAGCAAGCTGGAGACGTACAGACATAAAATACAACTGGGGAAAGGATCCCAGGGGCAACAGGAGAAGGGTCTGTGTGAATGAGAGAGGTCTCCCTAATTCATTAAACCTACCTAATTAACGCCTGATCCTGGATCTGGCTTTTGAGCAACTTTTATATACTTCTGTATGCAAATGATGTGTTTTTGAATACTGTTTTCTGTTTTAAGCCATCCAAAATTAAAATGATAATAGCAGTAATTACACTCAGCTCTATGCAACAGATTGCATCACTGAATAATGTTTTCCCCCAACCTTTAGTTTAAAATATTAATGTTTTCCCCTCTCTTCAAAGCCTTACTTTGTGTTAAAGGTCATTTGAGGAGAGACAGGAGGTTGGCACACTGGCCACATTATTTCTTCCTGTTCTATAGTAAGGAACATTCTGATGATATCGGGAACTGAAAATTCCCCTTTTCTGTAGATTTGTCAACTTGATAGGCTTACAGTAGATGAAAGGAGAGCAAATGATGTACTCACTAGTCTAACAAAGAAATGTTCCCCATGAATCACACCACAGGGGAAAGTGTCTGCAATGCATTTGTACTTTTCAGAATGCAGACACAGAGCATTTCAATGCTTTAATTGTTTTCATAATAAAGACACAAAATATTAGAAATATTTTTGGAGGATGTAGATTTTCATGTATCTCTGCTACTGTAGTTTTTATGAGACAAAGCCGGACAGTGCCATCTAGTGTTCCTTTGGTGATAAACTGGAACTGTGTGCAAAGGATTTCGTTTTAAAATTGTAGCAATGGATGTTCCAGATTATTTGGGTAGCAAAAGTGCTGACCAGATTTAAATTTTCTGGTATATAGTCCCATCAGTTACTACAATCACAGCTATTTACTACAAGACCACATACAATCAAGAATTTATATTCTCATTTGAGAAACAGGAAGAAAATACCAGATTTTCTTTTTTGGAAGAGTAACTGAATGTGAACTAAGCATTGTTGAATTATAATCCAACCAACAGTTTTCAGAAGTCATAAACTGAACAAGACAGCTGTATCTGCAGCAAAGAGTGCAATATGTATGATTAAGTCTTCTGACAGAAATCAGTATTTAGAGGTATAGTGTAGTGAAAAATATTCAGACAATTTACTAGAAAGTTGCCTGGCTTTCTGATCATTGCTAATCTCTACACTTTCAGTTGCAAGTGATCCTTCCTTACTCATAGAAAAGAAGTGTACAACTATTTATTTTATTTTACAACTTTTTAGCACCCAATCCTGCAAACACTGAGGGTACATCTACGCTGCACGCTTATTTGAAAATAAGCTATTCTGGAATAGTTATTCCGAAATACCTTATTTCGCAATAGCACATCTACACTGCAGGGAAACCTCAAAATTAGTCTGAGGCAGGCTTCCCTAATGTGGATGTGCTATCTCGATTTAGAGTCCCAAGAGGCACCAGGGAGGAATAACTTAGAATGGCCCTGGTGAAGGGCTATTTTGAAATAGCAGCAGTGAAGCGTCTACACACACCTCATTTCGAAATAGCTATTTCAGAATAGGCGTTATTCCTCATAGAATGAGGTTTACGGATTTTGGAATAAACCATCCATTATTTCAAAATTATTTTGAAATAACGGAATGGCTGTGTAGATGCTTGCATTGTTATTTCAAAATAACACTAGTTATCTCAAAATAACCCTTACAGTGCTCACTATCTATAGTTCAGATGGCTGCAGAATTGAAGAGCTTGAATCCCATGAAATTAAAGCTATCTAGGAATGCAATAGAAAAGAGGCAATGAGTTGTATGGATTGTTTGCTTTTCAATACGAATCTAGGGAAGCTGCATTTTTCTTTTGTGAGAAAAATAGGTTACGGCTAAAAGCATAAAACAGAGATTGAAGATCTGCTGAAAAATACCAACACTAAGTTATGGGGGGGCAGGGAAGGGGGAAGTGAAGAACTGTTTTTGATAAGATAGTCACTTTGGACTAAATTCTTATTGGTGATGTCCCCTTTGTGCTGCTGCGGTGCTCCGAAGAGGATGGAATCTGGCTTTTCCCTCTTACAGCAGACTACAGTTAAAGTCTTTGTAGGATCAGGTTCTGAGTTTATAGATGGTACTATCATGCTGTTACTGCAAATTGAGAGAATTTGGGGCTCTGTGTAATGGCTGTCATGAGAACACATAGCTTCAATTATAGAAAAAAATGTGTAAACCAGAAAGCATATGAAACATTACAACTATATATAGGCAGAGTTCAGCATTTCCAGCTTTGAAATTTAACTTTAGGTCTACAGCATATGAAATATCTCAGGTTCGGCCCATCTCCAGAATTATGCTTGCATTAGGCATGCCTTCTGTCCCCTAAAAATAAATATATCCTACACTTGGACTCCACATCTTGTATATTCATCTCTAGCAAGTATATGAGGCAGACTCAGGCTTGCAATTTTTATAGTCTGTGAGTGATATTTCTTCTGGAGTAATGGCAGGGGCTTTGCTTGTTTAGATTTTGTATTATACTATTTTTTATAATAAACTCACTGCCACATCTCAACTGATGTAGCTGTGATATTTATTGTATTGAAATAGGTAGGAGCAGAAAGCATTTACACTAGTTCAAATTTTAAAAAGGTATGTTAATGATCATATTGTGTACAGTATAGCAGTATGTTTAATAATTAGAAAAAAATCAGATATACTGGATAAGACAATAGATGAGCTAATAGATCAACTAAACATCTGTAAACATATATAAAAAATCAGATTCCCACTGGTATAAATTGAAGTAATTTTCTTTCTGATATGGCTCTCCTGGAATCAACTACTGACATCTCATCTCTGTAGTGTGTGAAATTCTGCTTTCAAATGTCATCTAAAGATAATGGAAAGACTTCTATCCAACTTTAATGGACTTTGGTTCAGATCACTAGGTATGCCCATGCAACCTACCTGAGATCAAGAATTAAATGGGTGTAATTGTGAGCAGAAAATTCTGTTCAATAATTATTTGATTAATCAAATGATCATATGCTTATTGTATTTTTATTTCTAATTGTTTAACTAGATGAGCTAGTGTGAACATAGCCAGGGACTGTTATTGTTAGATGAAAACCGAAACACGTAGCTGACTATTCATTTAATTTGGGGAGTAAAGGCGACCTTTAGTTCTTCTTGAAGTAGTGTCACTATGGGTGCTCCACTGTCGGTGTACTTCCCCCACCCCTTATCTCTAATAGAAGATTTTTAGTAGACGTGTCAGTTGAGCATGTGCTTGCCCTCACTTGTGGTCTGCTTGGACTCTAACTAGCACTGCACAGGCAAAACCCCCTCACTTCCTTCTTCACTGCCTTTGGCCTCACACAGAGCCAGCAGTCATCCCTTCCTTATCTGCAGCGTTAGCATAAATAGTAGCTGTTTTTGTTTCTTTTGTTCTCCCTAATAGTATTTCCTTTTTACTCCATTGGGATTAAAAAAATAATAAAGCCAAAGAAAGAGAAAGAACTTTAGTTTATGTCTCCTGTCCTGTCTGGGGGGCATTCCCCTGCCTCACATTTAGAAGACAAACGGTTGTTTTTTTTTCTGATTTAAAAAAAAAAGAAAAGAAGAAGAGGACTAAAGACCACCTTTTTCCTATATTCCTCGTTACTAGAGACTGATAGCCCGACTTCCACCCTGACCAGGGGCGTGCTCCACTCTCCCCACTACGAGAG